TTACTTACACCGCAATTTTAATTAAACGTGTTTCGTTAATTTCAATACTTTTGTGTATTTAAATACAAAATACTTCATACTTTAACTATTAAATTTTTAATTTTAATTACACGAGATTCTTTTTTATTTTCCTAGTTCGCCCTGCTACTATTCATCAATATTTAAAAATTTGACTGCATAAAATATTTACACATGGTTTGGTACCAACAGATTAATCCTTTGCTTTTGTTGTTTAGATTAGCAGTTTTGTTTTATTTATTTAACAAACATTTAACACGCTTTATGAAACAAATAATTTAGAAAATGTTTCCAACTGATCTATATAGCTATATGATATAATATTGTATATTTTTAGGTACGAGTACATCCATCCCAAGACAACAATATCCAATTTGACAATCCTTCATTCGTGAGACTACAGTTCTATTTCAGTAGATCTCTATCCTCGATTCCTGGAATTTGTGAATACCTATTGACGTAAGTGACAATAAAGCCCAATATCGTAATTGTATATACCAAAGGGTCCATCTATAAATGTCCATTTCCGAATAAAACAATTATTTCGGATTCTCGAATCGAGAAGGGTATTCGCAAGAAGCACTAATTAATTTTAATTAATTACTTCTAGGAGGTTAAATACGAATACAGAGAGGAAGCAAACTCGATTACGTATATTTCATTATTTCTACCAATATAAAAATATCTTCATTGGATCATTCTTTATTTTAATCTCTTTAGGGACGAATTACTTTATATAAACTAAAATTTTGACTGACATTGAGCTCATGATATTTATCAGCTTCCCGGCGATGTTGCCGTGATATTGGAACATTCAATCATGAATATTTATTTACAATTGTAGTAATTACTTCCTCGTTGCAATATTTTAAATAACTTATAAACTAAATGCCTCGTGCCGTCATGTTAGTTCAAGTTCACCCATAATGTCACCACGAGAAAATAACAATTTAGATAAGGTCAACATTTTGATTAAAAATCGTTTTTGGGAATAAATGTGAATATTTTTGTAAATCGGTGAATTTTACCGGCGGCTCATATAATCAATTTTAGTTTAATGCAATTAATTTCCAAACGAGAAACGAATAAAATACAAACTGAAAAAAAGTCGGGTTGAAAGGGTTGACGGACTCACGAAACGAAGGTTTTCCCAGACCTCATTACGCGTATGCAAGTGTTTGCAGGAAATCTTTCTGTTTTTCCATGGCAAACGTTCGCATTTCGAAACGTGTTTACGAAAAATCATTTCGCGGGGTTATGTGTACACTGCGAATGTTAACCCCGTAATGTTTGAGCGGCGCAACGTTGCGTGCGCGAGGATTGCGTAGCGCGGTGCCGTTGCTGTTGAGGACCATCGACTAACGCGACAAATGGCCTGCGAATCGTCTGCGAAAGCCATTTTCAGAATGTCGCTCGTTCGAGACCAACAGCGAGCACAGTGAAAGACGTCGCCGTCGGGGACAGGGGACGATTTGCATTCGTGTAAATAATTCCGTCGCTTGGCATCGTGTCCTTTCAGTCGTGGTTCTCGTCCCACGAAGAACTCTTTTTTTCTTGGAAGCTCTGACGACCGTGTCTCCAACATATACTGGTGTCTTATGCGGATACAAATTTGGGACATCGAATAAATAAAACGTATTCTGAACCGTTTTATGAAAATTGCAATGTGAAATATAAAATTATCTTTCACGTTGAACGACGTTGACAAATTTCTTGTTTGGACACAGAGTTCGAGTAATGAGTAGAAAGTAAATATGTCTTGTGTTCGATGGAAATTGCAATATGAAGTATAAAATGAAATTGTATTTTATGTTGAATGATGTAGGCAATTCTTTTCTTTTAATATAAATTTCATGTAACGAATAAAAGGTAAACATGTTTTGTGGTCAATAAAAATTAATATTTGAAGTATAAAATGATATCGTATCCCACGATATAGACAAATTTTTTCTTTCAACAAAATTTTCAAATAACGAATAAAAGGTAAACATGTTTTGTATTCAATGATTATTGCATTTATGGCTATTTTATTTTTCAGAGGCATTCTTCTCAGCTGCACAATGACATATTTTTTAGAGTTCTCAATTCTCTCAAAGAAATTTCGATTTCTCCAAGGTCAGTCATTTGGGCTAGGTTAGTTCGTAAATATTCTTGTGGGCATTTCTAAATAAATGTTCAAGGGAAACGCGTAATTAATCATCCAATCAGTGGCCGTGACATTTTCCTGTCACCCAAAATTAATTTAACGATAGTTCATTTATAGAAGTCCGTCAGTTTACTGTCAAAAACTAGTTTATCATTAATTTCAAGAAGTTATCACCAGTTTAGAATGAATGCTACTGTTAATTTGGTAAATTAATTGCTTCATTAATTTTTAAATGTAACAGAGTAACTATACCTAGTTTCGACAGTAACCCAGTCATTGACATTTGGAATTTTTTATGAAAGCACTATATTTTCTATTTTTAGTAATAAATGTCAAAAGTTTAGATAAGAAATGAACATAATGATGTTCTTATTATACCCTCGAACAATTTACACATTGATATTACAATGACTCGATGACCATGAGAATTTATCCATAAAATAAACTATTATTTTCATACAAAAGATACCGTTTATATCCCATAAAACGTTCTATCTTCCAATATCATAATTTAGGCAGAAACTAATATTCACAATTTCCATACCATTATTCAACACGACGTTGTCAAAATGTCAAAGAATGTGTCGATAATAGGAACAGTTTCGTATACCTATTGCGAATTTGCTTCAATTCCATTCACGAATTTATAATCATCCCAATATATGTTTATACACGTTTTAAACTAATAGATCTGCATTTTCCTAGATTTACATTCAGTCAGAAGTTCTAATAGTTAAATACTCGAAGATGTATACGTTTACCTAATCTGTTATTTCTCGATTTAAAGGGCGCGAAGTTAAATGATGTTCCGCTGGGAACTTGTTGCGCTGCCCCCACGGGCCAGGACGAAGTTCCCTATCCAGTTAATTTATATTATCGGGATAACTTAGTTTCGAGGAGCGGCGGAATAATTATTAACATCGCTGCACGTACGGCTGCCTCCAAACCTTCCTCGAGTCTCAAATTGGAAAATTTATTACCGCTCCTCGCGTGCTATGAACATTGTCTTCGAGACATTGTGCTCGAAGAAACTTAATATACCGAGCGTTCCTGCAACATCTCTGGCGTGTCGCGCTTGCTCGCTATTAAACGTCACGGTATCAACGACATTGCAATTCGAAACTCGTCGAACGTTGCAAATATAACGTCGCGATAATCGGCGATGTGTTTCGATTCGTTCTCCGATCGGCACAAACAGTATCGCCCTATCGGATATCTCCGTTTGCTACGTGCGTGCACGTACGATCAACGCGGGCCAGCGCTCTAAATCCACGCATTAGGTGTAAATCCTCTGTCAAATAGATGCGTCACGACTTGAAATACCTTTCGTCGAATGATCGTGTCGTATTTTAACTACGGATATTCTCTTTGACGCGGAAAAGCGCAAACAGCCGCAAAGTGGTTTCAGAAAAAGGATCTCTACCTAGAACCGAGAGATTAGTCGGAGGACATGTCTGTCGATATCGAGGAAAAAATTGGCGACGTTTTTTCAAAAATTTAATAACATCGGAGTTTCGTACGTAGAAGTCGTCGTATTTTATGACTGCCTCGTGAAATGGTTCTGAGATATAAAAGCAAACCGAGGAACGGTGTACATACTTACATAAGATATACATGGATATAGAGTTTGTGGAAAAATTAAATAGCATCCATGCTTCGTGTATAGAAATGTCATTATGCTAAATTTCATCGTTGTCTGATAAATTACTTTTGAGGTATGAAACAAAATAGAGATCAATATGCGCACATCAATAACATACACAATTTTTTTTGTAAAATTTAATGGCATTAATGACCCACATTGTATGGAAGTCATTATACTAAATTTTGTCACCTTGATGAACCAGTTCTGAGACACAAAGCAAAGCAAAGCCTAGCATACATACATGTATACACACATTCATACACACAAGATTTTCTCCAAAACTTAATTGCATCACTTTCTATATACATATAGTGATAACTATACTAGATATTATCGCTGTTTGATAAATCACTCCAACATACATAGACACACATTCATACAAACGGAATTTCGGAATCAGTTTTTCTGCATATTTGAACTCAGGTTACCTCAAAAGATTGAGGAATGCAAAAGCTGAGGTTATCAGATTTTCACGAGTAACAATAGTTGAGGACGTAACTAGATGCTTCTTATTTAACCAGTTGTATTATTTTAGTCTAACGATCGCGTCCTATTCTACCTCTAATGTCTCCTTTGATAAAATGGAAATTGGATTCAAAGGACCCCATGGTCGTCTCTAAGAAATAACTCGAGAGGACTCTTCGGCTGGAGAACATCTATCGACATTGGAAGCCTAGATTTTCTACTTAAACTACTGATTCTATCCTTTCCGTTACACAATCGCGTTATATTGTAACTCTAAGGCATCCTTTAACATTAAAATTCGGGTCAAACACTCACTTGGTGATTTTTAAAAAAGGACTCGAGCATCAGGAATCTTTCTATTTACGATCTATGGACGTTGAAAACCTAAATATTCTACTGGGACTCCCAATGATATCCTTTCTATCGTCCGATCGCGCGATAGCTCGACTCTCATATCCTCTTTCAGTCCAAGTTCGAGTAAAACAACCGTTTGATAGTTTTTAGAGAAATCACTCAAACACCAGGGTTCTCCCGACCCCCAGACCACCAATCGACATTGAAAACCTAAATATTTTACTCGAAACACTATCTTTCCAATCTTACGATTGCGTGATAACTCAACTCTAATGTCCCCTTCAACGATACAATCCAACCCAACAGTGGTGACCCAGAGCCAAGACCCGACCCAAGGACATCTAAGGATAATGAAAAACTAGATTCTCTTACTTGGAAGGGTGGTATTTCGTTCCTATCGGCTGGTCCGTGTTCTTTTTGAGGTGGCTTGCCGAGAAAACACACGAATCCTGAGAGAGGTGGAACACCCTGCGATGGTTGCACCGCTAGCCTAGAAGGAACTGACGGTCGTGCGCGTGCTGGACACCACCCGTGGACCACGTTCACCGTCCGACCGTCGAGAAGCGACTGTGCGTTCGCGGCTACTCCACCTCCTACCACCTAGCAACCCTCCTCGAGGAGGAGGAGGGCACACGCACGCACCAAGAGACCACACGTTCTACCGCTGACACACAAACGGCTCGCAACGAACGAACGAACGAACGCAGATATCAAAGATACGTATGCACGGTGTCCCGCGTAGATATTCTATAAGTAGGTAGATTACCTGTGCCGGTGTGCGAGCGTAGGTCTGCTCTGGTGGCAGGAACACCGGGCGGAGAGGTGCTCACAGGCGGTCGTGTGTAAACGAAAAGTGCACACTGCAAGAAGGAGAGGAAACGCAGGTACAAAACGCACAGTCACACCGCGGGGACACGTGTGCGCTCTGGCAAACTTGGAGCAGTCGCACGGGCTGTCTCGGGTAACTCCGTTTTCGAACGATGGATGCGCATGCACGGATAGCGATGCGTTAATGCATTCGGCCGGGTTACCGATGATAAACGCAAGTGCATCCGAGAGATGGTCCATGGAATTTGTGACGCAGACAGGAGAGGACTGCGATGGTCCTTAGTTTCCAGTTTTCAATATTTGCGTGTCGATGTGTGTGGCAAGTAGGACTGGAACTACTCGAATATCCGGACATTAGTTCTATTTAGACAGCTAGATCTCTAAAAGGAGCGGTTTACTTTATTTATACTTGCATTTTCATATCGGATTTATAATTAACCCTCTATGGTCGAATTTTTGTTCTGTAGAAAATTTGCAAGGCGTTTACTTTATATTAATGACGATTAGCAAGAGTATTAATCTCAATTGACCAAAGTAAATGCCTTGCAAATTTTGTACAGAAAAATATTCAAATTCAAATCAAAGACATTATATGATTGTGAAGAAACTAAAATTATTTGATTAAATGTTGATATATTAGCATGAAATCTGAAAGTTACACGGGCCCATAGAGAGTTACATTTATTTTTAAACGTAGAGTTACGAGTCTTTGTAAAAAATAGTATATTTTTTTATATGCGTGAGTTACAAATTGTCCTGTAGCGAAATCATCACTCCAGATAAAATTATATAAATTTTTTATATGTGTACAGCATACATGCTTATTGAGAAAATGCACGTGTACCCTAAATAATTTAAAAATTCTTATTACGAACCACCCATTTTCATTTTTCATATACATTTTCATATTCTATTTTGTAGTGACATTCTATTTTATCTGTTATTACTATATTTTCTATTATCGGTAGGTGATGCATTACACCAGGACTCATGGTAAATAGTAAACAATTCATTAAAGAAGTTGTGTAATCCTCTTCGAATATTTAAAAGATTTCCTTAACGAAAACATAAAGTTTATCAAAGTCGACTCTACATCGAGTTAATTGTACAATAAAACTTGTAAAGAAACAAGTTAAACTTTATTGTGATGGATTCGTGCAATATATAAATATTTTCCAGTAAAGTGTTATTTAGTTTCTTCAAATTCTTTAGAGGAGAAAGAGGGAATCTCTCCTCACTCAGTTCTCCAAAAGTGCCCTTATCATGATATTTAACTTTATCTTGATGCTCTGTACGCCAAGAATGAACATTGTGTATTGCTAACTTGAAAAATGGCATCGTTCCTGGGAAACAATTTGCGAATCATAACCTAAACCTCGTCATGTAGAATGTCCGAATGCTGGCTGACAGTAATACGACCATTCAGGGTTAATGATGGACCCAGCTGAATACCGCGATATGGCCGTCCAAATCGCCACAGAACACCCCTATGATTAGTTGGAAGCAGACAGTCCTAATTGTACGTGATCATATTACTTGTCTATAACCCTTGTATGTCCGATTATAACAAGAATCGATCCTGGATACGTCCAGCATCCCATGAAGTGCGTGTTTTGTATTGAATCTCAAGCGAATTTTATTTCTATTTTCGCGGTAAAAGCAAATATTTTGTTTTTCTCGTTGGATACGAAATTGAATAAATATTATTGGCCCGATAGTCGCAATTATAGGAGAATGTACACACCAATGTAAAATTTGTTTTCAATAACGGTAGTACTGTAACCGATAATCGTAAACATGCAAAATTGATTATTTTTAAACTCAGTACCATCGAATAAATAACTAGTAAACAATGATTAATCCATTACTTCATTTTTGGTTAATTGTTTTTCTCTGTAACGTTTTTAGAGTGAACATGGAATTCAGATTTCAAAATACGTATGAGGTATAATTTCTAATTAAGAAAAACGATTTTTCGCATCGTTTTTGTAGGAATCGATTCTTTTGCAAAACAATTTTTTTCACTTTAATTCAACACTATTTACCAGGCATCTATTTATAGGCTGTTTAATTCTAGTGTCTACATACTGGAACCTATTAATTGTATTGTTGGTTGTGTATTTACAACATTGAGTTTGAGGAAACAGATACGGCCCTTGATATACCCAGTAACAGTATATAAAAATTAATGTTAGCCCAGATTAATATATACTAATATAGAAAATCCTTTTGTAAGTTGAAACCCGTTTCTAAACAAACTGATGGTTAATGTGTTAAAATCGATTTCAACACCAATTTTATTACAACAATCGAACATCCTTATTACGTGAACTTCTGTGTATGACGATCACGGAGCCACGCATAGGCAATAACCCGCTGGAACGCTGCGTCCTATTGGGTTGTAACGCATAAAATGTCCGTGTCAGAATAGCCCCTCGAAGTTCTCTTAAAAAATTCTAGTAATGGCAGATACAGTTACTGAATATTTATTCAAATACAATAATAGATTGTTTTCATTCGCTAATGATGTTCTTCAAACAAATGACTAAAATCAATCTAATTTAGAGGATTAATTTCAATCGACTTCAATAAGAAATTACCAAAACGAAACTAAAGGGTCTTCCAAAAGGAATTTCAGGGTTTTGGTTTTAAATGACAAACTACATGTTAGCTTAGTGGTGGACACTTAAATGACATCCTCTTGCACGTTTAACCCGTTGGTCGCCACGTCACCCAAGAATGGGTGCCAGGACTTATCAGTAAGGAACTAAAGAAATTAATTCCAAAAGTAGGATGCTGATGAAAATAATTTTGGGTAGAATTTGCGAAGTATATAGGTTACAAAATTAAATATTGCAACAAATGTTAAATTATTTAATCTGTAACAGTTTAGGGACGAAATTTTATCTTGAAGAAATTTTCACGAGTTTTACGAGTCGTTAGTCTGGCAGTCAACGTGTCAATTGTAATCATGTGTACTTTTATTGCTCAAAAGATACAGAGATTTCTCTAGTACTGATAGAAGACTATCTTGGGGAGAAAATTTTCAACTAAATTTTAGCGATGTAATTAAGTAGCGTTTAAAGGTTTTAACCAAGGGCTCTGAAACGTGTGGTGGTTACTAAATCTATCTCCTCTGTCAAGAACGTGTTAAATTCGTTGCATGTTGCAATTAAGGGACCTAATCCACACTTTCCTTTTCATTCGTTGTCTTTGATTACTTCCACTAGTACTATTTAGAAACGAAAATTTCCGGAACCGGTACAGATTCACTTGGAACGACGTCTCCTCGAACAAAATACACAATTCGGACGAGGAACACCGCAGACACGGTCATGAATAATGTAATTAGGCTAGCTGCCGCCTTTTCCGTTGGGACATGTTTCCGTACGAATGTACAACGCGTCGCTGTTAACGAGAGAACATTTTTATCGGCCCCCATGCGAATGCGCCCTGCGGGCGCAGCTGAAGGAAACCAGAGTGGAAAAGGCACATTACCGGTGACATTATGGTAATCGCAGGATCGTCCCCTTCTGGTTCTTCCTTACCTTACCCCTTCACCCCACTACCCTACTTATTCGTGAACTCGAGCCCACCTACGAGGAATCTTTCATTCTGACGGAAGAGGACTAAAATTTCAAATATTATGAGCCTCGTTGATCGAAAGGTACACTGTGGATTATAACTATAGCATCATTTTTTTTTAACGATTTGACGTTTTGAGCAGGAATGAACAGAAATCATATGAACTGAAGGAATACGTTTTTTATTAATCTCTCTGAAGTTGCGTTTCATCTCATACAATTGATTTTATTTTATATTGATTAACCCTTTAACTACGAAGGGCGTATATATGCGCCATCGAGAAATGGGCTTAGAAAAATGTTTATATTCATGAAATCAATTTTTAGAAAATACAGCTTATACGGAATGATAAGACGAAACTTTGTTATATTTATAGTTTGTTCATAGGAAGCTTAGTTTCGGAAATAAAAATTGAAAAGTTAGAAGGTCGTTGCAAAAATTGAATTTCAGGAATAAGGTCTTCTAAGTTTTCGATTTTTATCTCTAAAACTAAACGTCGTATGAATAAACTATATATACAAAAAAGTTTCGTTTTGTCTTTCTCTATGAGGTGATATTTTTTTTAAAATTCGATTGTTCTACTGTTGTTGTTTTTTCTTTAAGACAACACCAACAGGATCAGACCACTACGAGATCTCAGGAAAAAGGTCTTTTAGGTTTCTTCATTTTTATTTTTGAAACTAAACTGTGAATATAAGAAAGTTATCATTCTCTATACAATGATATTTCGTTAAAATTTACACTTCGACGCCTCTTAAAATTTCCAGCAAAAATCGTCCGGCAGTCTAAGGGTTAAAAAACACTGAAACGTTTAAAAATATGGGTAGTGCTATAGTTGTTCTCAGCAGTGAATTAAAGAATACATTTTACTATAAACGTCTAAAAAGACAGGTTTCTTTGGAAATTAAAAAAAGGACAAATTTATGTCGTACAATAATAAATGAATTTATATTTGAGAATCCTACATGCCTTAAAAGAAAACAAATTTGTTGTGGGGTCATTTTATTGTTAATATTCTGAGGAAACTGGATGGGAAAGTAACGCTGCGAAAATTACATATGGAGATGGTAACTACGTTATGAAAGAAACAAAAAACAAATTTGTCTTAATGTCTATTTATGTGGCTATGGTGTCTACTAGAATGATTGAAAAACAATGAAAATTTGACACTGACATATACTTGTTTAAAATATTGCAGAAGAACGTTTTTTTTTTTATTAGAAAATGTTCACAAAATGTATTTATTAACCAACACTGTTTATTCTGGTAGACAGGATAGGTACATAAATATACATTAAGAAAATGTAATTTACCGTCTAGACACGTAATTTTCGTATACTAACAATAAAATAACACGCGAACATTGATTTTACACTTGTAAAACATGTATTGTTAAATACAAAATCATTTATTATTATACGACTTATAGCTTTTCTTCTTTTAATTCTTAAAGAAGTCTCTCTTTTTAGACGTTTACACTAGAACCTTAATTGAAACGATGCCAGCGAAGAAGTAGCTTCAACATCAACAAATTGAAATAATATTTATTTACTAACCTTTCGACGAAATTGTTAGTTAGACGACCAGGGTGACACCAGCCACGTAAGCAGAGTGAAAGCTCGATCGACCTACATTTATAGCCATTCGCGGGTGGTAGTCATAGACACTATCACCCCTATCCCTAATCACCCCTGATACTCGTCCTATCGTGTTTCGATGTGTTATCGACGAAAATCGAAGAGTAATAATTGCACGCGCCAGTTAAATGAAATCGATAAGTTCGATTCGAAAAGTTTAGTTCATTCGAATGAATTGTACCTGATTAAAGGAACGCATCCCAATGTTTTAGTCACTTTTGTATATAATGTGTGATGATTTATTTTACTGTTTCACTTTACGTACGGAAATCAATAGATTCAATGATAAAAGTTTATGTGAAATTCTGAATCTTTCATCCAAATCGCTGACTTAGTAAAAACAACAATCTTGCTTTCCATCGAACACCATAGCACTTTCCACGACTGGTTACTTCATAGTTCTATTTTTCAAAGGCATTGTGGGACGAGGTTTATATTTATTCAACCGCGTTTGAAAACGCGTATCCGTTAAGTGTAAGTTTAAATGGCATTATGAAGTGGCAATTAACGTGCACTTATTGAGTTAATATTTAGTCTCCGCGAGCGTGACTCGCTATTAAGAATATCACGGTCAACAAATTATAGCGGTGAACGTATCAATAAATATTATAGGATTAAGCTGGGGGAAAATGAATAATGAAATCCACAATTTTGTAAAAGTTGACGTTTTAAATTTTATTGTTGAAAGGAAGAAAACCTGTTACGTTATCAAGCTAGCTGTAGTTCACGCGATAAAGTGGTACGTTATTTGCACACGATTCAAATATCAAAGTGACACTAAATAGTTTTTCTGATAATGACTAGATCATTTTGAAAAAAACATATTTTGAGAAAAACACGTTTAAAACAAGTTTCGAGTAATACTTTTGTCGTTATTGATAAGATAGTAACACCTGAAACTTTGTCAAATGTTGAGAACAATTTCTTATTTTGGACACATAAATATGTACAAATACGTGATGGATATTTTACTCAATAAATTGAATTCGGAGATAGTGTCTCAATTTTAATTCCGTAAGTGCTTTGTAAGCAAGGACTTCAAATCATTGTATTTAAAATAAAAATAAATGCCGTACCCTTGTAATTTGTAAGGATAAAATTTGGCGTCTTTCAAATTTTGTTTAAATACGCAGTATATTCTCTTAGCCCTCTATGGGTCAAACTTTTTTTCCGCAGACAACTTGTGAGGCATTTACTTTGATATTTAAAGTTGATGGTGCTGCGGACCGTTATCAATATTGTTAATGGTTATCAGAGACATTATATTTCATAATTAAAACGTATACGTAATCTTGGGAGAAAACTAAAATTATTTGATAAAATATCGATACATTAGTATGTGATGTGAAAGTTATGTGGGCTCATTGAAGGTTAGCTACCTAGGCTGCACTTAAGTAAAGGTTATCATAAACAAATTTAAGCACTTTGGCTTTCTCAACTGTTCCAACTTACAAAAAGAAACATATGCAAAAATGAAAAACCTATTAAGAAAAACGAATAAGAATCGAAACAAACCTTAACTTTAGTTTCATTTTTCATCCAAAGTTTCTATCGCTTTTCGAACTTCGTATACACAAATAAAATCCATACCACTCAACTTCTTGAAGCCTCAGTTTCAAAACAAAAGCGAAACTTTAGACGAATGTTTGAAATGAAAGAAGACATACGAACAACAAACAGGGAGAAAATTACCCCATCACGCAGAATGGACTCTCGACATAAAATTCGAGAGGGTCCTCGCATCGAACAATTGCAAAATAAACTCAGGGGTAAATTCAAGAGCGTAAATTCAAGTGGACGGAATTTCGCGGAATATAAATGCGAAATTTAACGTTCTCAATTTGCTCGTAGTAAACGGGAATAATTTCCAAGTGGCAGCCGATAAGCGTCGCATTAGGTAATTTTCGATGCATTAACCGCGATCAACTTCAAGGACTCGAAGTTAAAAAGGACGGCACTTAGGCGGTAGCCATCGTTGACGAGGGGATGAGTCATTGCGACGAATTTTATCTTGCCGGTGTTCGTTTCCACGATCGCCGTTGAAAACGACACCAGGTTCCAGCACCTGATTAGTTATTAAAAGCCGAGGTGCCGGAGGTCACCGGCTACATCCGGTGCAGTACCTCGTGAATAGCACAATGTCTTCTGATCAGCCGTGCCCCAGGGACACGTGTTACGTGCAGCGGGACGTAAGTCGTGTTTTAATTCGAACAAACGCCGAAACTTGTAAGTTAAAGAAACAGTTATTCTAGAACTTGGAGTACGTTCTTGCGGTAGCTTCGTTGGAAGATTGCTATCGTTTCGTTGAAATAGTTTGTACCGTGCTGAGAACAAATAGTTGGACCAGCTGGTGTACCGTGCTTATTTTTCTAGGTAGGGAAGAGTTGTCAAAGTCGAATCACGGAAGGGAGCACAGTGTTGTAGTATTTTGTTTACAAATTGATTGCTTTTTGTTTCATTTCTCGAAAGGTACACAGTTCTAGAATATGTTGTAAAATTGTGAGAAAGATATCTTTATAATGGCTAAAGTTACAGGCTTGGATATGTAGCAGTGTTAAGTTCAACATTCTAAATGTAAAATAAAGCTAATTTTGTTTGCATTTCTCAAAAGGTACACAGTTCAAGAATATGTTGTTAAATTATGAGAAAGAAATCTGTATATAATTGCTAAAGTTACAGCCTTGGATATGGAGCAGTGTTAAGTTACAACATTGTAAAATTTAAAATAAAATCAATTTTGTTTGCATTTCTCAACAGATACACATTCCAAGAATATTGTATTTTGAGTGTAAAACAGTGTCAATTGCTCGACCGAAGACTACTGAAACTTTAAGATATTTTCACATTCCTATTTGATATCGATTTGCATTCAAACTAGTATCGTAGACTGTAGCTTGGTGCGTAAGATACCTGTTGTTACATATTATATTATACTGTCAAGGTAAGACTCTGCACCATGATCGTTTCAGCGTGCGGCGAGCACGAAAACTAATAGTTCCACAGGTAGTGAATCTCGATTATTGCACGAAAGCCTCAAAAGTTGCATTGCGACAAGTGAGGGGGGGGGAGGTGATCTCTAAGCAATTAGTATGTTTAGGGGTAGCAGAGCGGATGTACTTCTTACATGTAGATTGAACAATCATTGCGTTGGTTATGAAGACTTCATCGCGACCAGAAATGAACAGACATTTATACAAAAAATGAAATAAACGCATTTGTGCATTGATAGCTCCATTGAATCAGTTTATGCTTATTTTGATTAATAAGGTTAATTTACAACAAAGATACAAATAAGATATATTTCATTTCCAACAACCTAAGGATTTTAGGTTAATAGTTCGGATAATCGAGGTTCCAGCATAGTGCTGAGCATAGTGAAAAAGCAAGGAAGACTCCTCGAACAGCGCTCATGATGACGGGTGACGGGAGATTGGACCGATCCTTTGTTGGTCCAAGATATGAACTAAAGTGCGAGGCTCTGGTTATCGGCTTATCTCGCATTCTTAGTGAACGTAGTTTCTATCACGGCGCACGGTGCAACATTGAATTATCCTTTACAACTATTTCTATCGTCAATATCCTTTATCGGGATATCGCCGATTCGCACGAGGCTCGTTGAAATTATCTTATATTTGCGTACAAGAGGTGTACTATATTTTTACGTCGATCAAAACATTTTCGTTTACATTATATTCCAATAAATTCTTTTCATTCCACGATTTCACTTGAAGTATTTCAATCAAACCGTGTAAAAACTCTTTCATTTAAATTTAACGCAAATTCGTTATTATTCATGGATTCTGAAAACAATTCAATCCAAGAAGTCGAGGCGTCGATAAAATGAAAGCTTGTCATAAACACCGCAAGTGCTGTCTTCTCATCGCGGATTGTACCTCGAGCAATTTCCGATAGATCTACGATATTCGCTTCCATCAGTATAAATAGCCATTTAAACTATAATGATAGAATAACAGGAAACGAGCACGATGGGTTGAATAAATAACAACGCTTGAGATCACGTGCCGCTAAATTTGTGTTCCTATAATTATGAAATAACAAGAAACGTGCACGGTATATTGAACGGATGAAGTAACGTTTACGATCACGTGTCGCTGAACTTGCAGTATCGCGGGACAGGAAAAAGAAACAGTTAATGATTCCGAAAACAGTGACGGGTAGCAAAACTGCTCTTCGTAAAAGCTGCGGTCGCTATTTGTATATAAACGCTAGCGTCACATTCGAAACTTAATAACGCGACGCAGCAAGCAATTTAATGACACTCGATCGTGGATTATTATTGCGATGACCTAACAATGAGTTATCATCTTTCGAATGTTAACGGAGTAAAAGTTGTGCGGCGAGCGAGGGCACATGGTTTATGGATCGTGCAACCGCAACCAATCCTTAAGGTGCGCTTATTGTTGGTGCATTTCTTTTTTTACTTTTACGAAGCATGCGCGACGCGTTGCGCCCGCTGTTTCTGCATACGTGGTCGCCATAAAGTTCAGGGAACCCTCATTCCCCGTGAACTCGGGAATGAAACGCATACGCGACTAACAGTCGCGTGAAAACCACGTGAAATCGGCTCGCCGTTGCGTCGTGTTTTTTATTCGTTGGCCAAAGAGTTTGAAGAACTCTGCCCCTGGGAGAAGTAATAAACGTTACTCGGAAAGAGGTGTCGCGACCTGGGGAGCCGTTGTTTTCAACTAAAGTTCAGTTGAAAATTAAGTAATCCTCTATTACGACAGATTTCCCGAAAGGGGCAGATTTTGTTTTTTAGTTTCAACACTAACGGTATGGAATATATTCGACTTGTACAGTTTATATAGTATACTTATATCTCTTACGTATCTAAGTATATTATATAGGTGTATCTGTTATCTATAAATATATCCACATATATTAATGTTAACGTTCGTATAGTATACAAATTATTTGTAGATGAAGTAAAGAAACTGTGGTGTGTATTTACAAAAGGAACTTTTATTGTATATGAATGTAAATGGAAACAAAATGATTGTCAGTAACTATTCGCAATCAGTAATTCAACAAGAAGTTTTAGGGGGTCGTTCTACCCTCTAAATATGGAAACGGATCAAAATAAAAAAATACGTATATCTTATTTTTCAGTCCTTTAAAACATATCCAAAAATCAAAACAATCGGAGGCGGACACCTAAAAAGCTTTCCTTGTTAGTATTAAGCTCGAATGTAAATAGAGATCGAAGGAACTTTGTTTCCTTCTATTTTCTTCTCTTCATACTTAGTTAATAAGAAGCTCGAATGTAAATAGAGATCGAAGGAATTTTGTTTCCTTCTATTTCCTTCTCTTCGTAGTTACTAATAAGCGAATGTAAAGGCAGATCGAAGGAACTTTGTTTCCTTCTATCTCTCTCGGGTCTTCGCTCGCAGCAACCTCCACAGACCTGGTAATCGGTATTACTCGCGGGGAAAGATTGTTCGAACGATCCTTCGACGCGAGTAATAGCGAGCTAATTTCTGCGAACTTGTAATAAGATGTTTAGAAATAAAAAGTGGAATGCCGCGCGTTACAAGTATAACTTCTTAGACGCAATGGTGAGATTTTATTAATTCTTCCCAGATATTTGAAAGATGATGCCTTAGTTCAGTTGATCTTAGCAATAATGTTTATCAAATACAGAAATAAATTAAACGGTGGCATTTTATAATAGTAATAACAATTTAAATCTTCAAGATGAAATTAAAATGAATAATTCCCATTTAGTTAAGCATTTATAACATAAACAGTAAAATTTACTTTTCGCTTAAATATTAACCCTTTGGGGATCCGTGTCGGCCGCCCAAAGAGTTAATAAGAATCACCCCGTTCGCAAAGGGTTTATAAGAATTACGGTTCAAAATAAGTATTCATTGAAGACATTCGTCATGAAGAATTTTTCTATATTCTTATATCAAAGTACAAAATCATTTCCAATGAAAATTATAAAGTAACCTAATTAGCAAAGTACCAGCATTCTGTCAATTTTAAGTTCAAATTGTAGAAATATCATTTCATTTATATTTAAACAAAAAATTGCATTATAGTAATCGTAAAGGGTGCACAAAAGAAATTTGCGCGACTGTTAAAGTAACGATTTAGTAATTCAGAAACCAGGATTTTATTTTGCAATGCGAGGTGTATTTACAAAGCAATATGCGCGATCGCACTTGGCGCGATTTTAAGAGTTGTATATTGCTAACAATTCATTATGGAAACGTTAGACCGTCACGAAGGAGACGCAAGGAGGGCGAATGTGTTTAGCAGATTTGTATCTGCATCATCAGCTGCTACTCAGCATATGCACTGTGTTGGGTATGAATTTGAACCAATTGCGAGCGGTTAATTACGCTGGGAGGAAGGTTCGCGAATACGTCATTCTTTTTATTGAGTATCGTTGCAATATTAATTACGGATCGTTTAAAATCAAGAAATTTTCTGTTCCTTGAATAAACGTTTACTTTATACCTAGAATAAATTAATATCATATATGAAAATTATTAAGAGAACATCACGTATGTTTCATGAGACTTTACGTATCAGTTACAAAATGTTTTCTTGTAATTTTATGAAAACATTTATTGGAACGATGGTATAGTATTTAAATTATTTTTAGAGGGCGTATATTTAACGTGTAATCTAAGATATTTCCATAAATCTATAATTTAATTCGGTGCGATTATTTTTTTCATTTTTCTTATTTTAGATATAATAATTATAAAATATTTAAATTTATCTTCGAATTTAATCAATCAAACTCTATTAGAATGAAATTAATTCCATTATTCGTAAACTAAACCACTTGTAGTTAAAAAGAATAGATTTCATTATGACAAATTAATGCAATTAGGTACATATCATAATCAAAATACATACATTATTATCATTACAAGATCCTGACTCATCATTACCTCATTAAATTTCTATGTCTTTTTTTACACATTATGTTACCCATACTTATTCACTACTGTAATTAAAACAAATCGATTACACGTATAAAATAGAATCTTACCAAGCTCTGTTTATGCGGAATAAAGTATATTTTCGTCCTAGAAAATTCATCACGAAGAAAATGTCTCGCACAATATTCGTTATCAGTATACCAGTCACTTCTAAAATTGACTCATTAAAACCTTTTCTACTATTCTAACCGCGCATATGTACGTCGAATACTTAATTAACGTTTCTTATGCTAGAGAGCAGTATTCAGTCTTATCGTGTGCCACTTTTCCTAACCGAGCCGAAAACGTGGTAGTGACGATTGTGAGTCACTAACATAGATAAATTTCCGCCACTGCTTGAGCACCGGATATTTTAGTTTGCATAAAAAATAGATATCTATTCTAGGTATTACTACTTCTGTGTTGACGGTGACATCTGTTTTATTGATCGAATACTATTGATATAAAATATCTCGTTACTTACCGAATCCTTTGGCTTCTCGTTGAGTTCAACGACTGTTTTTTGAAGCTCGTAGTTTTGTCGCCGCAGGAGTGAAATCTATACATGATAAGGGTATTTATTAATGATACGTGTCATTCATTGTTTGCATCTGATATAACTTTTAAAATATATAATATTGTTTTTAAAATTATTGGTAATAGAACTTCTTGTGTTAAAATTAATATCGTTAAATGAAGTAGTTTAATTTATATTTGTCTACTCTGATAATTTTAAAAAACATTAAAGAGAACTAAAAAGATAAGAGAATCAATTGATGATACGTGTCATTTATTGTTTGCATCGGGTATAAGTTGCAGAAAAATATAACATTGCTTTAAAAATTATTGCGAATAGAGCTTCTTGTGTTGATATTAATAACATTAGATGAAGTAGTTTAATTCATAGTTTCCTGTTCTAGTAGACTTGAAAAACATTACAGGATCTAATAAAATAAAAGAATTTATTAATGATACGTTTCATTAATTCTTTGCATGTGATATAAATTTCAAAGAATATAATATTGTTTTCAAGATTATTGGTTTCGTGCATACATTTCTGTACTCTAAACTTGCTTTTAGAGTTCTAGTAGAGTGGTTCCAAGTACGGGTCTTCTAGAGTGGTTCACTTTCATCAATATTAGGGATGGTTTTCATTTAATTAATTCCTTACTTGTGTATTATATGTTAGACAACCATCTAGTCTCGTTTTAAAGAATGAATAATACATTTTTCGCGAAACGAATGAATAATACATCGTACATTCGTTAAAAACATTCAGAAAGATTCTCGTAAATTGGTCAAGTAGAAAATAGGGGCCAATCAGAATCACGTCGTACATTCTCATCCAGAGATGTCATTTGAATTTACCATATTATATTTTCTATGTGTACTGCAACCGTATTTTCGTTTTAATTTATCAACAAAAATTTCTTTATTTGCTATAAAAATATTAAATATAAATATCTAACTATGGACAAGTTTATAAAACACAACAACGTGGAATTAAAATAGAAAATATTATTAATTAAACCACAATTAAGTTGCTTTCATTGATTTTGAAGAATACAATTTTTTTACAGATTTAGTCTTCGAAATGCTCGTCACTAGGTAATGAAAAATACATATAATGTAAATAATGTGATAAAAAAAAATTCATTAAAATTCAAGCGACACATTTTTACGATTCTTTTGAATTAAAGTGTAGCTGCATTTATTCAGAGAGATAAGGGGTGTATATTATCAACTAAAGGATACTCATAAATATATGTGTGTTTACTTTTTAATTACCTTAAGTACTGCAGTACGAAGTGAATTATGTACTAAAATTTTAAATAAATAGACATGAGTATATTTTTTGTGATGACTCAATATATCAACATCACTTCAAGGCTGATAGATGTAGGTCAATATTAGTTACAATTTTAACCTATATACATTATACAAAGCAATTGGTTCCTGAAGAAATTTAAGTGATACAGGAACAATAGGTATATTTCTATATTAACTTTGTCAGTTCTGGATTTTGGAAATGGGGGGAAAACAAAAATTAATCAAATGTGGATTCGTAGCATAATGTTTATAAAGAAAAGCAGAGTAAATTTTCCAATTAATTTAATATTTTTCGTCAAATCAAACATATATGAATCTTTTCAATCACATTTTTGAAGTTCATCGATATCATAATTTGTATAAAGAATATAAAATACAATAAAATATTACATAATGACTAAGGAAAGAGTATACAAGAATTCTTAGCATACTTTAAATGATTTGGGGATCAATTAATTGAATTAAAAAGTTATATGAATTTTGATCATTACAATTATTAAATATGTTTATTTTGTTTACTATTATTTTGAATATTTATTTCTTAACTTTCATTCTCCACACATTTATTATTATTACATCTAAACGAAAATCAAGCCATTTAAAATGATAAATGCAAGTTTTATATTAAGGACAAATATGCTTTTTCGCATAAAACATGACACGTTTCACTTCAATACGCTTTAACAAAAACAGTTGTTAAAGTTATCTATATATTGCAAAGTGGCATTTTTTCTTTGCCCCCTCTTGGATTACAAGTCACCTCTACTCCATGAAAAACAGTGGTGTAAGCAATCGGAGCGAACAGAAATCGGAGTTAACCGTGTTCTCTCGTGCACTGATTCTGATTGGTTAATTAAAAAATTCCCTCGCGGATAAATTCGCTATGCTAACGAGGCCATAAAGTTTCGGAGCTCTGGTAAGCATCAATTAAAAGCACTCCAAACTGCTTTTGACAGTTGGACGGTGTTTGAAAAATTCTTGGAACTCGGCGATCGTGTTGAAACAGCAACGAAAAAATTGGTATCTCGTAAGGTGAAGGAGAGAAAAAGAACGGAAAAAGAACGTTGACACGGGGAACGCGGTAATCACGTTACGGACTTAAATATTGGTAACCATAATCAGAAGGAAGTCCGGTTGGTACGCTGTGGGCATAGGGACCGTACGATGCGCGTTTCTGTTTACTTTCCTTATCTCAGGTTTGCGCTGCGATAACCGCCTCTCCCCTTCCCTAAACGTTATACCACCTATACCACATCATCTTACACAGCCGCTGGGAGCAATGAAAGCGGAACGACTCGAATCGTTTTAAATCTACGCTCGATTAATATCTCGCATTTTTATTTTTCGACCATTAAAGGACGAAACAGATATTGCACCGAAGGAAAATATGGAGAAAATTATTTCACGAATAATGCGCTTGAAGATCACTTGATCGTTGATCGTACCTTATTTACCCAACAAAATAATTCATCAAAATTTCGTCATTTTTCAAGTGCGCATAAGTTCGTCGATTTTCATTGTATCGAGACATTTTTTTTTTATTTTGAAGATAATTATTCGTACTTTAGGAAAAAATTAATGAAAAATGGATGCGAGTTGATGCCACACCTTCGTGCCTTGATAACGCTCGAGCACTTGTTTTTCTTTAAAATTTGATTGTTTCCATTTTCAATTACCTTATAATTATGATCATACATTGTATGTATGCATATATTTCTTATTTGTAGAAATATTAATAAATGTTTTAAATGAATCCTAAGGATTAAATTTTACATAAAAAAGTTAAATAGACTTTACCTCTATCTTATCTAATAAAGAATAAATTAAAGAAAATCGTCCATCTCTTCAGTTATACACTATTTATTATTAAGCTTTATTTGCTACAATTTGTTTCACGTTTTCATTTTCAATTACCTTATATTTATACTTCTTTCTATTTTTTTATTTTTATATTCAGCTAATCCGCATGTAAAATTGATATTCTCATTTCAAAGACAACAATAACTTTCATTTTTAACATAAATACGCTCGTTGTCACGTTCAATATAAAACTTGAATAAAATATTTAATTGCAAAGTTTGTTTTATGTTTTAGAATATATACTAAAATATATACTGAGGGAATAGATTGGAAATTCCAGACACATGCTGTGTTCATGTGTGTTCATGACTACTGTTGCATCTGACCAAAGGCGGTGTACTATACCTGCGATTCGTATTCCGTGAACACGGCGGGGATATCAAACGTTACTATTGGAAAACGATATTACAATTCCTGTAGGTTGATAACAAAATTAACAAATGCTTCAAAGTTTGGACGACTTCATTCAATTGCAAGGCTGGGTACGTATCATTTTGCTACACATATCATTTTACATTGCTTCGTACAATTACGGAATTGGTCATTCAAACGAGCTATCTAATATCCTGAAAGTTTACATATTATACAAACTAGTTAAAATAATTAAATTCATCAGATGAATTCGCGATATTAAATTATACAGAATTGAATTCTGAGAATTCACTCCATCGCTTCACTTCATGATTTTGAAGGTTCCGTGTCCATCTCATATTTACACTAAACACTGCACTGATTTTGAAAATAACAAATCTAAATGTAATTGAAAAATGGAAAAGCTAAGCAATAATTACATTTAACAATAAAGAATCGCAAGCAAAACTTCACCCATAAAATGTAACAATTTTTATGTAACTCTAACTGAAGTTCCACGCCGTACATAAACTAAAATTATGAAATGCCTGGAATATTTCATTTTGACCCCGATCGGCATATTTCTTTCATAAAATATTGCTCGTCGGAACGACCTTCGAATGTGCAATCGTTCCACCGTGCAAAAATAGTTGTTCCAGCGGCGAGGGAGGGAAGGTGAGCCATTGAAGTCTGTACGGTCACGTCGTTCCGGTTTGTTATCGCGGACAATTTGTGGAAGCATAAGAGACCGAAAGCGTGCACCACGTTTGTTCGTGCTTTTGTGGTAAACCTCAGGACCATGCCCTCCGTTGTTCTAGGAACCGATAGATAGCGATATCAAAGCCTTTGGTCTACATTAACAATGCTTATGTGCCCGGCCCTGTCTCCCTTAGAAACGTTATAATGTTACAGTGTTAATGCACTCGATCCTCATTGACTTCTACCGAAGGAAGGTGTGCCCGTTGAAACCATGGGCATTCGTAAATCGATCGAGGGATTACATCGAAACGATTCCAAAGAGTCCGGAGTTTATGCAACGAAATGGATTGAGCATGCTATTTGAGTTAATAGAGAAACAGCATATGAACAGATTTTTTTAAATATGAAATCAATGCATTATTCTGTACATTAATGAATATACAATGATACAATTGTAATGTATTATGATAAAATGAAGTAAAGTTAAATCAAAGCATGGATAGGATCTGTATAAATCTCGAAAGTCGTTCCAGGGTCGATATACATAATATTATAGTACAGGCTCTTGTTTGATTTGATTTTAAATATTAATTTGAACAGTGAATTTGTTCATCGTCCTTAAAGTTTGGTTCCCTTTCGTGTATTATGCAAGTAATCTAAAATAACGATCTATTTTTTAAGAAAATAGAACTACGACAAAAATTAATAACATACTTGCACAGTAGAGGAGAATCAAGTACTGGATATGTTGTACTCGGTAATAATTTTGGTCACTTTAGATACGACAGAAATAAAAAAAAAATATATATAAGAAAATTGATTTATGTCGAATACATTCATTTTCATGATACCATTTTATTTCATTATAATTTCTTAAATCTTAGTCATGAATATTTTCTCCCTTGGTAGATTCATGTTGGAAACAATAAAGTGATAAATTTATCGAGAATAATAGAGTGGCGTTCCAGGAAACGTGTGCCCGGTGTTTTGTGCGACGAAGGATAGCTTCGTATCGCTCCTTGCTGAGGGTTGAAAGGATTCGGGGTTGGTGTCATGCGAGATAAGTTAAACGTGTTTACATTACACTCAATCCCGTTTATTATGGAAAGCAACATCTGTTAAAATAATTTCTAACCGCTGGGTAACTGTGTCCTTATCAAAATAGTCGACATCTGCGTTGGTGTCAAGAATTTGTAATATAGCGTGATATACGATTACAAAGTAGTTGTTACAAGTTAAAGCATACGAATGACACAAGCAATCTATTAAAATGAAAAATGAAAAATACTTAACGTGATTTTGCATTAAGCTTCAATCATAATATTTCGTAGTTACTATTCTATACTTCTTGGCATCAATATTTACGATAAAAAAAAAGGTATTTATAATAAGGAATATTGTTAAAAATTAAAATTATACTCACTTCAGCGTCTTTCGAGTTGAGTAATTCTTGCAGTTCGACGCACTTTTCGTTTGCTTCGTTTAATGCTCTTGATCGTTCGTCTACGTACATGAAACAAGTAAAGAGTTATTTATTAATTATTTAAGCAGCAAAAAAAAATAGCTGTAAACTTTATATTAACGGGTTTTAAATTTCCCGCCACTTTTAACGTGAACTGGGTCGATAAAACAGACCCTTATATTGACAGTCGTTAGTAACCTGCTATGTTCCGGGACAACAAATGGCAGTTCGCTTTGGTTATGTTGTGATACAGAGGGAATAGTACGTACCTATTTCTTCCACAATGCCCTCTGATAAGACTTCCTTCGTAAAATTTGTTATCTGTCCTTTTAAATTCGACAAGCTAGGCAGTCCGTCACCGAACCACGCCATTTTACACGTCGACACTCGGCCTTATATGTATTTTGGAAAAGGTATTTGAACACTCTTTCTGGACGTTATGAACACTGCATATTCTGATAAAACTGCACACGTCAACGGCATAAAAGTATCAAAACATGAAGTAACAGGAACACGTACTAACCCTCACAAAATACACAAGTTTAGTTGGGCATGGTCGGCAACGTTATATAAAAAATTACTAGATTCCTTGGGATTTTTCTATTTTACGTAACGAAGTATATGTAATACTAAAACTGCATAATTTCTTGCCATTTGTAATTGTATTATTCAATACATTGTCCCTCTTCGTCTCTTTTATAACCCAACGAGTACTTATGTTTGTACAGAATAGAAATTTATTCGAGATAGCTTTTTACCGATGGAGTTCGTTATAAGCTTAAGGGGGCAGTACTGTCGAGTCTAATTCTCTCTTAGCGAAGTATGATAATTTAGTACAGTTCCCGCGTGAAAATGGACGACTGCTAACGAATTGTGTCAGTGTGCAGTGCATAAATAAAAGGTAATGATAAATTGTACTTCTTGTTCGTATATATCTTCCTAATAGTTTACGATTTCTTTTTGAAATGTGTATTAATTTTATCTTCCCCGGTATATAAAACAAATAGGAAGCAGTGATATCGCACAATATTTGATTCCCTCGGTTTTTCGTGTTTCGGTCTTGTAAACAAAATTTACTCTAATATTTTATTCCACGTAATCCATAAATCTATCTAAATATACTTTAATTCTGAAAGAATATTTCTAGTTCTTCGCAGTTATCTCAGGATCAGGATCTTGGGTAATAGAATTTCAATTACATTTTTGTTAACAAGGTTATACGTAAGAAAACGTTCGCTATAGTTCAGAATAGTCAATTATGCATTATTCACGTACTTATTTATTAAAATACTAGGTATATACTGAGAGTGATAGACATGTCGATGTTGTTTATAGTCTTAAAGTAGAATGAACGAGCCAAACAATTTTTGGAGCCTTTCAATCATGCAACCTTACTCTCTGCACTCTTTGACAACTTCTCCACTACCATCTTCTACTACTACTCCTATTTCACTGTTTTTCGAGTCGAGTTACTCTTGTACTCAATGTTCTTGTCATTAGTTTCGTGTAATCCTTTTGATCATTCTTTTATGTAAGATAAATCTGTGAGGAGTTATTCATACATAATTGAAACAGTTCTTAGCGACAACATAGTTTTTTCATAAGTCATATTTTAGTATTTTAAGTTTACCGCCACTCTTAGCACGAATTGGTTGGTAAAATAGAGCCTTGTATAGACTGTTATCAGCTGGATGGTAATCTTACACTGTACTTCAATTTGAATCCTTTTTCTAGATGTCACTACATGCAGATTCTAACAAAAGTATATGTATCACAACACAAAACTTTTAAAACATGAAATAACAGGCATAAAAGTTTACAACAAGTTTAGTTGAGCATTTAGTTAAGCATGATGGTCGACAACATTATGTAAACAATGATTAGATTCCTTGGGATTTCCTTGTTTTACTGAATAATTTTATTGAATTTTTTGTTCTTTTTGATAATATTCTTAAATGATTATTTTACGTTATTTCTTCCACTAAATGGCTGCATTAGGTTTATAGAAATATTTAGATATGTAAGTGTGTTATCGACAGTGTCGGTTCTAATTACTCATTAAATTTAGAGGTGGCAGCACTATTGAATTTGAATTAATGCTATCTTTAGAATAATTATGGAATTTAAATTAGGGACTGCAAATTGGAAACCTCCAATTGATGTCACATATTTCGTAAGAGACCAAACACATGGGCTATGAAGTTCATATTTGAGTTAAGTAATAAGCGAAATACTAAATTTTGACTGCTTTCTATGGTAGAAGAAATTAATATATAATTCTGTATGTAGGTATTTTCAGACGAATTCTATTGTATGATTGCAAGAACTATTGTATTGATACTATGCAGAGGACTAAGATATTTTAGTGAAAGAAATGAAATATAAGATAACGTATATAACATAGACAAAACTTGTTAATAGTCTACAAAAATATAGTTCATATTTAGAAGGCCTATATAAGATCTATGTAAGGGCTAAGGTTGTTCAAGGTTTTTATCGAAATTTGTTAAGAGAACTTATCCTAAGATCCAAATTTTAGAATTGCAAAGACGTTTTCATTCACAAGGTCGCATAAACTGACGCGCACTCTGCGTATTTCATAATTCACGACACTTCATATTACAATGTCGGACCTGGCAGTACTGGAAGATTATCAACGTCGACTTTTCAGATTTACTCGGCTTATTTTAACGAAAGCAGCAGAACAATTACGTAGATCTTCTCTCAGTCTATAATCCCGTATAATTCATAATGCTTATTTATTTAGCACCCGCTTACCCGTTCATTAGAACGCTTTGGAAATGTTGCAAACGGGAGTAACCGAGCAACTTAATAAACGTCAGTTTCGGTTAGAATTCTAAATTGATGGGAGGGCTTGCAAAAGAACGCCGGCGCCGTTTAAATGCGCCACGGTGCCTCGCTGAAACACTCAACCATGACACCTGTTTTAAATAGGACGCTCCCGCGTCAATTTAGTTCTTTTCTCGGCGCAAATAAATTGCCCGGTTTCCCTATCCTCTCTCCCGTGACTTGTAATTCGGTAATAAAAACCCCTTTGAGACGGGTGCCCCCGGCAGCCGTATCATTCAGAAAAGTGGCTTAGTGCGTTCACCGAATGACGACTCAAAAGGAATTCCTTTCTTCTTCTTTTAATCCTGTCGCGCGTTCCCTTTATTTTTAGGAAGTCAAGTTGATTGCATGGACATTATGGGACAGCACGTTTTTATGAGGCTTCTTTCCCCGTGGCGTGTACCAAAGTATTAGGAAGAATGGTGGGCACGAGGCCCGTGGTCCTCAACGGAGGAAGGTGAGTAGCGCTTAAGAGAAGGGGGACGGGGGGCAGACGCCTTGCTATGCCTGTGCTTACACGCAGTGCCGTATCGTTAGTTTGGGACGTTCACTGCTAAAAGGGCGCGCGTTTCGATTCAACCCTTTCAGCGCTGAATTAATTAGCAGTAGGAAAAGTCTACTCGATTCACTTTATTATTTATTACTGAAGATCTAAAGCGGCGAAAGGATATACAAAAAAGCAACACACTTGGAGCGTTTTCAACGTGCTTTTATTTTATTGACGTTTCGACCATTTGAATTCTTTTTATTATTTGTTATTTAAGATTTGAGCCAATAAAGGGTTTGCAAAAGGATATATTAGAAGGCATACACTTGCTATATTTTAAACGTGGTTTTACTTTGTTGATGTTTCGACTGCTTGAATTCTTTTTATAATTTATTATTTAAGATCTAAGACAATAAAAGGGGTCGTATAAAAAAAAGACGTACACTTGTAGGCTATCAAACGAGCTTTTATTTTATTCATGTTTCGACTATTTGGGTTGTGTAATTGTTTCGATTTATGGCAAAACAAAAATTTGAATTATAATTAAAAGGATAACTCGATACATAATTTGATCGAAACATTTAAAGCAAAATCATCGTACGAACAGATATTATTCGAACATAATATGAATAAGTAATTAAGAATTTCTTCAGAGCTTAGTACTCAAGATCTTTGTACATTGCAATGCATGTATCACATTCTTCAACTGCGAGTATGGTATTACACAACGTGATATTGATTTGCTATTGCTTCAAAAATGCCGAGTCTTCTTTAACTATTTAATTCTACAAATTCTTAAACACTTTCACTCTTTGCTCTAAAATATTGTTTAGCTTAAACTTGTTATTCTGATCTAATCTCGCAGCAAGGTTTGAAATAAAAAGTTATTCAACAGGAGCTTTAGGATTTTATTATTTAATAACAATATTCATCTGCTAGCGTAGTGATGGACATTTAAACGACTTAATTTTCTACGTTTAATTTTAATCACGGTATATTCCATGCTACTTTTATTGCTGTACTGTACTGTATTGATGTACTTGTGGTAGGAAGTATTACTTCCAATTCGAATTTTTCGATTCTTCCGTATCCTCTTTGAGGCACATAGCTTTTACTGCTCTGGATGAATAACATGTATTGCACACGGATGAGAAGATGAGACCCGAGGGATACCAGAGGTATATATTGTACAATTTAAACAGTGGTTCGGGTTCCTCTGGGTCTCATCTTCTCACCCGTACGTTATACAATAAGTTCTCGGATGTCGTAGTTAATTCGTTTCAAAGTTTTGTAGATAAATCAAACACCGCGCAAGTCGGATTGCGCGAGTACAATGTACTGTAATGAGGAAGAAAGATGAGTCTCAGGTCGAAATAAATGTGGTACTATAAGTAAAAAAAATTTAAACAGTTTCGATTAGGATTTGTGAGCTTTAGGAAGATTAATTAAATTTTGTT